CACCTGCCACCAGGCACCCTCTCTCCTCCCCCCCCCCCCCCCCCCCCCCCCCCCCCCCCCCCCCCCCCCCCCCCGCCCCATCACTCTCCCCTGGCCCCTGGGCCGCCGACATTGGCCTTTTTCCAGTTTCTTCAGTGCTGGGAGATGCTTCTCACCTCACAGCGCCTTTGCACCGGCCGTCCCTGCCTGCTTTAATCCTGTCTGTCCTTCGGCTTTGAGCTGCGTCGTCCCTCATTTAGAGACCTTCCCCAACTCCCCACCCCACCTTCCAAAGTTCTAAATGAGATCTCTGAACCAGATTAAATGCATTATGGAGCACCCATTCAATAGAATCCTAGGTGGCCATTTAAAAGAATAAGATTTACAGTACATTTATTGATAAGGGGAGAGAAAGCAAGTTGCAGAACCATGCACGTGTAAAGTGATCCTGTTCACAAACATTTTTTAAAGGACATGTGTGCTGCGGTAGGTACACATTCTTTTCAGTAAATACAAGAAATTGTTAATAGCACCTCTAGGGAGACAGACTGGGGCTCACATAAGAATAAGAAGTTTTTCATTTTAACCTTTTCTGGAGCATTTGAATTGTTACCACATATGATATTTTACATTCGAAAAATAAGACAATTAGTTGTTTCGGCCCTGGTACTTTCCGGCGCTCCACGAAGACAAGGACTGTCTTCTATTTGCTGTTGTTACTGGCACCGCGTGGCATTGCACCTTTCAGATGCTCAGTGTTCCTTGGACGAATGAACGAATAAACAAGCAAATGCGGTTTCCCCACGTGCGGCTAACCAGGTGACACGTGGGGAGACAAGCAGGTTGAACAGGCAGGAGAGATGGCTAACAGAAGAGGTGGGGAGCAAGGGCAAAGAGCAAAGAGAACCCGTTCAGTTGAAGGAGTCGGAGCTGGGAAAGAGAAGCACGTGATGGTGGCCTGTGTCCGGGTGGCGGTCCGTGTGAGGTCATAGCCCTCCTGCCTTGCTCCCCTTTTCTGAGACTGTTTGAGGTGCTCAGTCACCTCCATGGGGCCAGTTCAGTAAGACACGGGCCGCAGGGAGGAGTCCCCAGGGCTCCGGTGTCACTGCGCTCTTTCCATTCTGTTCCATTTGGCCTTGCTGAGGCAGTGGTGAGTTGGGGCATATGGCGAGGGAGAGACTTAGCTTATTTGTGGTGATGGGAATCAGGAGAAATACCAGAACAGAGGTCGTTGAATCTTTAGAGTAAAAGCCGTCCAGACTCCGCTCTACGAGTGCCTTTGAAGGCACTGTTCATTTGCAAAGAGAGCACGAGGGGGCGAGGATGAGCTCATGGGTTGCAGTCGGACGGAGCCGGAAACCTGGCGCTGTCCGTTATTGATGATCTCAGCTCACACCAGCTGCTTAATCTTGCTGAGCCTCACTGTTCTCGCCTGCAAAATGGGCAAGAGTAAATGAGATGCTGAAGGTAGAGCATATAGTTTCTCTGCAGGCTCAACACTTTATCTGTTAAGCAAATAAGAATAGCTCTAGAATCTTTATTATGCACGGAGCAGAGTTTGGCATTTTGTATGGTGAGTATTTTGTAAAGATGATGGCATTTAATGCTTGTAACAACCGTATGCGGGAGGTGAAATTCCCCCTTCTACAGATGATACCACTGAGGCACGGAGAGGATAGTCACACAGCTGGTAGGTGGGGAAGCCAGGATTGGAAGCCACCCATCCTGCCTCCGGAGCCTGCGTCTTAACCACGGGATGGACGTCCTGCCCATATACTTAACCCACTCACTGTTTCTGTTCATGTTCTTCTTGCTTTTAGCAGCGCAGAAGAACAGGAGAATAAAGTCAATAGAACCATTACATTTTTTCAAAATAGCGGTAGCTTTTCAGCAGCGCTAGAGCAGACCCCCTGTATTCCTCTTACCGTCTCTGTTAAAAATCACGCACTTTCTATTTCATTTTATTAGAAATTTGTCTTCTATTTGAGCACCGTTGACATACAGTGTTACATTAGTAACGTTCCGAGAGTCACGCTTGGGGTCCTGAACCAGACTGGGTCACCGGTCCAGACTTGCAGGCCAAGCGGCCATAACCGAGCATTCCCGGTATATACTTTTGTGAAGAAGCGGATTTCGCAAGTCCGTTTTCTGAAATCTTCTAGGGGAAGACGAGGTGGGAAGGAGCAAGGCCGAACAAGTTACATACACATGAAAGCTTGTCTGTGATAGTAAATCAGGAACTGTAAAACTGTGAAGTCCTTTGAAGTTTGCCCCAAACCGGCTCCACGGCCACCTGTTCCACGGGGGCCGGGAGTTGGACGGCCCGACTCTGCTGCGCTGGCTCAAGCTGTCACCGCACCGGAATGGTCCAGCTTGCCTCAGCCTGGCTGTCATCGCTGGCTCTGTCCCACTCAGGCGGTTCACCGGGTTCTGTTGGGCACCGGGCTTCCAATTAGAGAGAAATCCCACTGTGTGGCCGGCCTCACCAGTGCCACTCTGAGAGGCCCCTTTGCCAAGGCCCGGGCTGACCTCTGATCTGTCACAGATGGGCCAGCCCCACACTCCTTTGTGCGCATTTGGAGGAGGGGGGCGGGGACGAGGAGGGAAGCCCGTGAGGAGTCGGAGTGGACATTGGGCAGAAGTGCAGTTCCTCAGAGCCGGGAGGAGCGGGGCGGAGTTGACAGGACCCAAATGCTAACGCTGTGGAGGGAGAGGGGACTCGGGGAAGACCCCGTCCTGAGCCCTAAGCCCAGCGTGGGGCCTTCTCTTGCCACCTTCTGAATATTCATCTCAGGCTGGGCTCCACACCGAGGCGAGCCGGGGGCAGCTAACTGGCTCGCTCCAACACTGTCACAGTGCTGATGGCGCGTGGCACAGCCAGCTTCCTCCCTGCCCCGCCGCTCGGCCCGGGCTCAGGGACGGTGCTGTCAGCGGCTCTCACCGTGGACGGCATTAATCACGCAGAGCGAGAGTGAACAAGAAGGCAAAATTCCTATTAGCATAAGAGGTAGAATCTTAGAGGACTCCGCGTCTAATTCTTCAGCAGGACGGAGAGGCAGAATCTAAGCCCTCCACAGCTGCTTTCTGAACAGAGGTCTTGCCGAACATGGGTCGTTATTTTGGGGGTGGTGTGTGAGTGTTCTTTATTTCCCCTCTCAGCCATTCCTTTTCTTAAGCCCTTTTGATTCTTTTAATCACTGCCTTTAACTCTCGGTCTTATTTTCTGTGTCTCCGTCTCTCCCTTGCCTACCTCCTCCCTCTCTTTCCAGGTACGGCATCTGTAGCTCTGCAGTCGGAGGCCGTAATAAAGACACCAGGCTCGGAGTTGACATTTATATACTCAGGCTTAGCTGGACCAGAGCAGTTGCAAAGTCTGAATAATGAATAGTCTGAAAGTGGCAGAAGGGTCTTCCCAGCTGTTCTTGGAATGACTCTGCATGTCTTTTAAAAATTAAATTGGGGGGGCGCCTGGGTGGCTCAGTCGGTTGAGTGTC